AGTGATACAATAAATAAACTAACCTTCCAACTGAATACTTTTCGAGTAATTGATTACCTACCTATACGTACTCTGAGTGTATTAGGATATTAGTTACTAGAGGAGTTAACCGTTCACGAAGAAGAAAATTGTGACAGTTAATTAAGTTATATAGTAAATCTTCATACTTTCTAGGTATTTATTGATAATATAGTAATAATTGATTTACAATTATTAAGACAGACTGTATATTTATTCCAGACTACTACTAAACCTGCAGTAAATGCAAATACTAAAGTTGCAGTTGCGAAACCTGCAGCAAATGCAAAAGTCGCTGCTAGCGCTCCAATACCTAAACCCATAAGTGAACTAGAAGAACGAGCAGCTGGATCTCGAGCTATGGCTCAGTGTAGTTACAAAATATTCTGCGAAGAGTTTGTAAACTCCTTAGGGATCTTACCTTCATTTATTAACCCCGGATTTAATCGTTGCTTCTGTCAAAATTGTTATAAAGGCCAAAGTGTATTACAGCGCGGTAAACCACCAAGGCGTTACGCTATACCGCACGGCTGGGTTCGTGTAGCAATTGCAATAGATCAGCGTTTGGAACAACAGGTTTTTAATGATTTTCATGTTGCTTATCATGGAACCCAAGCTAAAGCTGTTAAAAGTATAATTGAAAGCTGTCAGCTACTACTACCAGGAGATACTACCAGTACCGGCTTCAAGATTCCAAGTAAATTGGGATATTTTAATGATGATAGTACTTTATTTTTACAGAATTCGTAGTAAATTCTACTTCCTTAATACTGTACTGTGTTATGGCAATAAAACATTCTATTCTTAACTTTGATTCTGAAATTATGTATTCTAGTTCTCACAAATCACGCTAAAGATGGTACTTTCTCCCTAGTCGCCAATGGTAAAGATAGCACTGGAGTAAATAAGTATAAAGTTGTCACACGTCATAAGGAAGGCTGCAAATGTGGCTGTGCCGTCTTTACTCCTAAAAGATTATTTTTTACCTCTCCCACAATAAAATATTGTGAACATGCAACATACGCAGGGTATGGTAGTAATTATAAAAATGGTAAAATGAAGTGCATACTGCAAGTTAGGCAAAGGCCTGGAAGTTATCACATTCTTAACGAAACCGTGGGGGCTACAAGGCGTGGTGAAACTATTGATAAACAGTTCAAGAACGATGAGGTAGCATGCTTTACATCGTGCCGTTATCCAGCTATTGTCCCCTGCGGTATAATGGTTAAATATATCAAAAGTGTACCTAAGGCTAAGGCCAAATGAGAATAGAAATCTAATTATCTAAATTGATCAAATTATACATCTTAAGGTCTAACTTAATGTTGCTATTTGAAGGTGAATAGGATTCTACCTATGATGATAATATGTAATTTTTAGGAATATGAACATTTCCAATGATATGTCCTATTGCAAACTTTGTAGATTGTTACTGTAGCAACGTTAAAGGTATTGGATGATTGCAGTTTTACGATGTAGTTAGTTGGCGAAAAAAGATTGTAAATTATTATATAGTTGTGCTGCTTCTTGAATACTATATATGGCGTTACTTTCCTATTTTCGTGATAGCTTTCTTGTGCAGCAATAGTTATGCAAACAAATTATTTGAAAAAGTTTCTACATATGATAATACCAATATGTAAGTCTTTGTAGTATTTTCTTATTTTCTTATGCTTTATTAGCCAAGGCCTGTGTATTGGCTATTTAACATAAATCGTTTGATGTTTATTGAACACTGTATATACAAGTTACTAGCAGTATTCTATTTTTACATTTGACAAATACCAAATATATCAGTAGTGAAGTTATTATATTTAATAAGTATATTACATGGAATTTAAATTTAAGAAAGGAGGATATGAAGTCTGCCGTAACATTAAGATCACTATATTAAATTTACTTTAGTATACAAAGCCTTATGTTATTTTTTTTGTCTATAAAAAATGTTTGTACTGTTTGCTATGTGCCTTTACATGTGCGATGTAATTATGCTTTGAGCTTGAATAGATACGTAGTTACTAGTTAATTTCTAACGAAATCTTTCTTATTAAAAATTAATCTATACAAATTTTATGTTTTTAGGATAATGTTAGCAATGTATAAACTTACAAAAGTAAAATATATCATGTTGTAGATTTAACCCAAAAGTTACTGTCTGCTTGTGAGTATTCATTTCATATCATGGTTACAGTATTGCTAATCTAGTATGAGTTTTATAATGATTCAATGACGGCTTAGTTTGGTTTGGTTTTTCGCTAATATACATCTGCGACATCTGTATAGTGTGGTATGCTGGCAAGTTTGTTCGCTGGCTAAAATCTAGCGAACTTACATAGCAACATTAGTCAATAGTTATTCACGTTTATCATATAATTTAAAAAAAATATTACAGAGATTGATCCACATTGTAATTAACAATTTGGCGTTCAAAGTTAAAGCTAGAATTAGTGGGAGTAATGAGTATGATAGACCATCAGAAGATCTTAATGCGGAAAAACAAATTTTTGAAATCATTAATAGTTCAAACACTTTTTATTGCTACTATGCGAGTAAAAAATATTGAGATTTACAGTATAGAATCTTAAATATAACTTTCTTAGAAAAATTTACGGTTAAGATTATAACTGATATACAGCATTAAAACGGAATCGCAGGCATTCGATTGATTGTATTTATAAAAATAACTTGCTGTTTACGCTAAAGCTACGAGTACGTATAGCGATATGTCACAAGTATTTAAAATATCTTTCTGTCATTTATAATTATACAGATTGGGCGTTGTAATTGTAGACTATCGATTAATAGTACACAAAAATAAGAGTCCCTTGCAATGCTAATATAATATCAACGTATTACTTCGTATAATCCACACACACATGAATTGATTTTCCGTAGGGAACACTTTGGGGCATTTTAACTGTGGATGAGTGTAATGTATGGTAGTAAGATGAGGTATTATACTTCACTGTTTTCTATCAACTATTTAGTTATGAATCATACATTGATTCTATCCTGCAGATAAGGATATTACAGATAAACTAATACAGTTTTAAGATGCAAGTAAGGCATCCTTATTAAGCTATACGAGGTTCGGTAGTTACTCAAGCTACCTTTATAATTTAACAATTTACAAAAAATATAAATTAATTAATGAGTTATAAAGAGGTAATTATTACACTATGATTTGATGACGTTTAAGTTGATTAGGATAGATCGTAAGTTGGTTGATAGAAAAGCTTGAGAGGGTTTACAATTTCGTAATAGTTCCTGAATTAGCGGACCCAACTGGTAAAGGTCAAATAGTTGTTTATTTCTATAATTTTTAAGGAATGTGAAAGTGTTTTTGTTAGGGTAAATAAAAAATTGAATGTGTTGAATCATTTTTTATTAAGAATTTACTTCATTTTCGATAGCCGTTGTAATATTATGCTTAGCTTTTCTATAACCAAAGAGTTGGTACTAGGGGATCTAATAACAGCGCTGCAGGCTCTAAACCAAGATTCATTACTACAACTGTTTAGAAAATCGTCTAATAAAGCTATAAAAAAATAAAATTTTAGCATTACTTTCATCCTAATGCAGCTGCTTGGATTATAAATATAGTATTGCAACAAATTATGTGAAAGATTAAATTTGTAGATCTGTTTCTGAATTATCCATGCAAGAATAGTAATTATAGTGATTTACGTGATTCCATTGACATCAGCAGCATAAGATCAACAACTCTCTCTAGTAAGACTTTGTTGGATGCCTTCAAGTAAATGGTTACAACTGCAATTCCTTTGCATTGAAGGAGTATCTCTTTACCCTAATAATAATTTAAGAATATTTTAGTTAAATAAAAATGTTAGAAACCATTAATTTAATTAAATTAGCTAAAGCTTTATTCATAGGAGATATTGTACACAAACCATATCAGTCATGAGATCCTTATGCAATATTTCTAATACCGACGCTAAACGATCAGCTGCATATTTCGACAGAGAAATAAAAATAAAGATATGGTATTCATAGGTAATGAAAAAGTCTCCAATTCATCAAATTTACTTGATTTAGTGAAGAGAAGACCACCTACCTTGATTCATTATTTTTAATATTATTAGAGCAGACAGAATGCGAATTCGTAAATTTGTACTATGCAAATATAAATTGCATTTGTTTTTCTCCGGATAATGAATACTTGATGATAAGTTACTAGCATTAACCGTTGCTTCTCCAATTGGTCGTGACATCTAAAAATTTTAAACATATATCTAACAGTAATTTAACAATTTCGGTCCGGTAGCATAATCAACTTACTGTTGGCTTAAATAATTCTTCTCCAATCCGACGATATGTGGATGCAAGGATTACACGCTGTGATCCTGCCATATCTAAATGGATTACTGACCAGTAAATAAACTGCAAACATGGCTGCTGAATTTTTAAGTGGCCAGAAGGTAATAATGGTAGAATTTCTGCTAAAAATGGTAACACCTATCAAAGATATCAGACACCAGGTTATTATATCCTTTAATTTAAAAAAAACTAAAGTCGATATTCGCTATGGGTAAACCTTGGCACATCTTTCATTAAGAAACGCTGCTGGTAGAGATGGGGAACCTTTCTTGATACCTTGTTGCTCTAAATCGTCAACTATATGCCCTAAGTGAACGTCTACAATCCATTCTAGTATTATCGATAATAAATCATAAATCCCTAATGATTCCTGCAATACAATCATAATCCTTATATTTAACAACGGATATACATATTTCCTGCTAGAATATGGTATGTAGTATATTTAAAATTTCGGCAAGTTCAAGTAATACCTTTGATAGAGTAGATTGTTGGTGAGGCTTTACGGCAGTACCTGAATTTAAAAAAGTAAACAGTTGGGAAGTCTTGCATTTAAGTAGTTAGTTTGTACATCAATGCAATTAAGATATTTGTTAAATATCTTTACCAATCAGTGGCTTTTTTAAAGAATCGGTTGTTGCTTTCTCCACATGGAGGGCAGTGGATGCTTTTTTTAAGGTAAACGCATGTTTTTGCTAATGATTTTAGTAGAATTTGATGGTTTTAGATATGGATCGCAGAAAATATAGTCTATACAGTGGGCAAATATAGTATTCATATTGTTCATCGTACCTGAAGATTCTTAAATCTTCTATTTAACGTACTGATTTGTGTTTGATATCTTTTATTTTGTTCCGTTAGAGTATCAATCTAAAATATTAATGTTGAAATATGTTAAGTTGAAAATACTGAAGCTGCAATAAACATTTGCAATCTATAATTTTTCATACATAATCGTATCTAATAGCAACTATAAAATTTATTAATGCTCTCTTGCCTGGCTACGAAATTGATCATTTTCGCCTTTGATGGTATTGAAAGAGCTTTGCAATCTTTTAATTTCTTTCTCTTTACCAGCTAAAATCGTTTCTAGTTCGATAATTTGCTGTTCAGCTCCCTAAAAGTTTTAGTAAAGACACTTTTCATGCTTTGTATATGCAAATTGCATTAGCTATGTATTCCAAGGTGTTATACATAATTCTTTCTTTATTGTTGACGTAAAAAAGTGAACATAATCGTATTGCTGATGTAAGTTATAGGATCGTTTAGTCAATTATTTTAGTGAAAAGTCATAAATAATCGAAGAACAGAGTGTGATAATAGCTCTTATAAAGCTCTTCGACATTGCTTGTTCGTATTACTAAAGTCGTAGAAGGTAAATATTTACTTATTATAAAGTAATAGTATTTGTAGATATTGCGTAGTCTGTAAAATTTTGTAATAAGACATCATCAATGATTTTAGCATAATAGCAGTTGTAGTATATTATATCATAATAGAAATATAGCTGGTGCACTACGATATACCAATAGTAGTTGATATTACAAAGCAATTCAGTTTCAGCTACCTGTTTTAGTTTATACCATCGATCTTCAATTTCAGATTCAACAAGCTGCCGCAGTGATGTGCTAGTAGCAGCTCTGAATGTATCTTCCATTTCAGCTAAAGCAGATTCCCTTTTGTCAAGCTCGTATTGTCTATCCAGCAATGCCTGACTTTGCCTCTACAGGTGCCAGTTTAATATTCACAGGTTAATTAATTTAGGATTATAAAGCGCTGTAAGTGGTCTCATTTACTACTAATAAAATTGATTGTCTATTAAGTCTACCATTATCGTGAACACTGAATCTTTCCATACCTTCAGATGTTCATTGATAGCTACTAACTCAGAATGTACGTCTTGCATTGGAAAATTACCATTTGACGATAATTCCTGTAAACAAAAGGTAAGATTCAATTTTTCTTAGTGACCTGATAGCATGATTAAAATTATTAGACAGAGGCATGTAATCAATTATGAGTAGATAGTTTACCTCATCTATCTCACTCGTAGAAATAGTTTGCGTAGAAACAGAATACTTCGTGGATAATGCTTCATTTTTAAATCTTATCGTCGTTTGAGATCTTCCAGCTATAATTCGTGAATGAAGTTAGCAGGAATTATAAATTAGCACGGCTCTGTAGATAGTTGATGCTCTCACGATTATTCTTATTGCTTTATAAAATTATAATGATAAGAAATATACATACTACTTTCTTTTCTACCGAGCTGCCCATCGCTCTTATTTAACAGTTCTACTTCTGCTGAATTTAATTTTCTCTTTGTTTTGGTTAGTGCATGATGTAGTTGAGAAAGGATGTGATCGTAATCGGAATCACTGGTCGGCTGTAATGGTTGAGTCAAGTAGTGGGATTGACTGTTTGATCTGCCTTCAGTAAGAGTATCACTGTCTAGGACTGAAGTAATAATAATCCGTGGCTTTTATTAATGCTATTGCGGTTATTTAGATGATTTGCTTTAACTTAGCATGTTATAATGTATCGCTATAAGCTAAATCTTTACGATAAATAAATAATTATGTAACAAAAATTAAATTATTTGTTGAAAAAGAACATCAAATTGTACATTAGAATTAACTTTGCATAACATGGTAACGATATCAATGGCAATCATTTACTATAATATGGAGCATTTAATGCATTAATCAAGAGCTAAGAAATTCATACTGATGTTTTGGCACGTAATATTAAATCCATTTCCAGATTGTGCTAGTGCCTGCATTTACTTCTTTTATATCTAAGGTTATGTCTAGAATATAACTTTAAAGCCTAGTATTAAATGTATTTTTAGATCGTGCTGGTGCTTAGCTTTGCTTCGTTTACATCTAAAGTTTTATACAGAGTACGATATGGAACTTTGAAATTATTCAACAAGCTTGGTTATACACGTTGTAAAGCGGCTACAGTCAAATTACAGTCCGTCAGATAACTTACCAACGAGTAGTATTTCCTTCTCTCTGTAGGCGTACTGAACATAGCATGCAATATTTAATCTTTTAGAATATCCTATCTTAATATATCCTAAAACGCACTATATAATCCTATGGATGGTTTAAAAACCGATTAAAATTATGGGGTGGAGAGTGGGATATTAACTCAAGGTAAACAATTTTTGATGAGCTATTAACAATCGATTACGAATTCGTGGGCGACAAGATTAATTCCTTCAATATTAAGGAGAAAGATACAATGCAACTTATCATGACCCTTAGCATTTGCATAATACTATAAACTCACCGTCATCACTACCAGGAAAAGTAGTAGTATTGCTAAATAAAGTTGTTTTGGAGCTCATTATTGGCTCATTTGGATTATTTGCATGATTCATTGATTACAAATATGTATCGCTTCTGCAGTCTTAATTGTCAGTGTTCATTACAATACTTGCAAGCCTTATCCAATCGAACAGTCATCGATTTACCCAATCAGCATGATCTTCTAAAAGGGTAACTTGTTAATTCAAAGACCAAATTAGAACGTCGATTTTCACTCTTGACAGCTGCTGCTAAACTAATAATAACGATAATAATTATTATGATGATGGCACGATATCAACCTCTACCCGATATTGTCAATAATATAATAATACTAATAATAATCCTCTAGTTGATCTCTTATCGTATCCAGTAGTCTAATTAAAGTGGATCTTTCTCTTTTACAGTAATTCTATCATACCAGTCTATTGATGTTGTCTTGCTGTAGAAATGGATTGATTTACTTCTGCCATAAATTAATTTGAATTTTTCCGCTGAAATTGTTGGCGTTTCTAGGTTACCGTTGGAATTGGAGTAGATTAGTCCGACATTTGGATTGCTTTGCTATGTTTTTTTATGGTATTTGTACTACTGTTTTAGACAGTATATAGTGGTATACACCCCTGATGCACCGCTGGACAACCGGACTGACTCTGAAATCCAGTGCCAATCGTTCCAGTCCTCAAAAGTGTTCTACAATACTATACAGTACTATCGACAATTAGGTACAGTATGGGATAGTACCCTCTGTACTATATGGCAAAAACTGCATACGAATACTGCTAGGTCCACTGGTGGTTGGAGCGAGCTGGCATAACGAGGAAAGGAAGAGATCCTGACATAGGCACGATCACAGAAAGATCTGGTAGTATTTCTTTGCAAAGGAAACCACAATATGGCTGATGATACAATAACGATTACAGATATCTTTACTGATTCGAAAGGAGATCAGATACCGGCTATTCTAGGTAAATTGTGTTCATCTACAGCATGCTAAACTACGATGGATTGCAAGAGCATCGATCATTTGTTCGATGTGGATCTAAAATCAAAATAGTACTCGTTTAGGATTCAATGGAATACAGTATATGTATCACTATATTGTTCTACTTGTATAGCTAAATTCACAAATGGCCAGCTTTACGATGATAGCAATCTAGAGCTTACTTACAAGAGTGAGAAGGTTGGCAAACGTAAACGTGGTCGATTGGTATGTACGCGTATCAATAGGGCAGGGTAGCTATGATTATTGCAATGATGCTGCACAGCACCATCAATGAAAGCTAGTATTCCTAATTAGTTGTCTAACTTTTCTACTAAATGTGTTATTCTTAGACTGGCCAATGTGGTAATGTGACATATACCGGGATTGAAGATGATGTCACCTCGAATGATGATGGATCTCAACCGCGGTAGCTAAACTAATATACAGTCATAGGAATAGCAAAAATGTATTTCAGTTAGGATAAGAGACATTATCTTGAACCTGGAGTATAATGTTATAGTTGTAGATGCTACTGTATATTGTGATCATGCTGTAGCATAGTGATATCTATATAGAGAGATACATACATACTGTACTCTATCTAGTAACATAGAAGATATTACTATTATAAAATCGGCATGAATCGTTATGTTAACGAGCTTGATAAACTGTCCGTTTAGTATTTTGTTACGCGTTCCAAGCTACACAGATGCACCAATCCTTGCAAAATGAACGTAAATCCATTGTGAATATTTATGTTGGCAAATTATCTTGCAATATCATATGCAGCACTATCCAATGCGTATCTCCATCAAGTATACTACGTCATGATTAATTCTAACCGGTGCATTCCGATATACAAAAAATAGAAAAGACCCTTACGCTATGGATTTATCGTGCTTCTCAGTGTTACAGTTGCATATTCCATCAATATCATGTATCATGATTAATTATAGCAAACTGCAATCCAATGGACAGCACAAAAAGGATAATCACGCATACATCAACTACATTTGGCATCGGTGTAGCTGTAGAGAATAAGTCATGTCAATTTCAGCATTGCACCTAGGTATCAAGTATCATATGAGTGTATCAGCATATTTTAGTTATAGCTAACTTCGTTTAATATGCAAAAAAGGAAAATCATTTATACGTCATGGATTACACATGTTTCTCTTAGCAATACACTTTTATCGAGTATCGCAAATCAGCATGATCAATTAATTATGGCAAACTGTATTGTAATATACGCGTATAGTATAAAAAAGAAAAATCACGCGTACGTCAGCTACATATGTACATATGCAGTAGTGCAAATGATTGTAATTGTATTGTATAGTAGAGTAGCCTAATAGATGAATATTATGTATTAGCCGACGAAAACAAATGCGTTGCTATGAGCTTGATAAAGATCTTTGTGTAGGCATGCTATAGCACTTGAAATAAACTTACTATACACTAGAATTAGTACCTGGATGATCTCATATATTTGGTAGTGATCATCAGTAATACAGCACATTATACCCTCGCCTACAGAAACAGTATAGTCACTAAGATATGCCCTTGCCACTCCGCAGATGAGCCACATTATTTTATTTCAATCGAAATTAGATACATTTTATATTATTAGATGTTGTTAGTTGATGCAGTTCGATATGATATGTAATTTACTCGTATGCGTAAAACAAATGTCTATCTACCCATTGCAGAAAGAGCGCCAAGCACAGAGGTTTAATAAATTAAGATAAATATGGGTATGTCTATCATATGTACATAGAAAATAGGAGATGCCATTGCAGAGCTATGCATTTTATGACTTGTTTTCTACGAAATGAGTTTACTATCATATACGAATAACGTTGAAGGCAAAATAGGATACAATACTACTTTTGCAGTCTCATATTACAATGAGCGTGTATGATTAGCATAGCTAATACCAAAGTCTTTACACTGATGATTAAGCGATTTTATTTACCCAAGTTAGCAATAAATGCTTTAAAGATGATACTACTTACAGATTTTTCTAATGAATAGATGTTGTGAATTGTAGATACGTAATTAGCCTTGACAGTGAAAGATAAATCCATGAAATATTTCATAACATTGTGTTACATGTTTGACCTTGAGGCTATGGTGCAGATATTTGTAGCTACGATGCTTGCTGACTTTATGAAGCATAATTTTTGTTTGGTGGCGGGGTTGTATTTGCACATAGCCGTACCTTAAGTATATATGCACGTATTAAGTACTGGCACTTCAGCTATGCCATAGAGTCTATGATATTCATTATAAAAGATGATGAATTGTTTTATGATATTAAATTTCAATGTAACATTACTTGTTAGATATTACTTAGGCGTTGTTAACAAAGAATCTAAGACTATGCAAATCTATGATATGAAGACTTTTACAATTCATCCTGAGGTGCAAGGTATGCACGTGTTATGTAAATGGTCTATGTTGTAACGATTAGCAAGTTGGTATTACTGTGCGCAAATATGGTTATATCACTATTATTACCACTTCATATAATCAAGTACTGTGGGTAATGAAGGTTTGGGTACTAATGGCACTAACTTGTTTATCATATTTTTGGCTGCATAAAAGTTATCACGAAATGATTTTAGCTAATTTATCTACATAACCTTGACAATGATATAGTTGTGAAAGAAGAAAATGATCAATCTCGAAAAAAGAGGAAGAATCGCAGTCTTTTAGAAAAGGTACAAGTAGCAATGTTTCAACTATCCATAAGCCCTGGTATTTACTGCGTACTATGTACCATTTCAAGAATTATTTAGATAGTAGTTATATAGCTTATCTTAACGAATAGTTTGGATTGTATACTGTGCATTTCATAGTTTGTTATATGGCTTGGCTAACCTCATCGTTTAGTATTTAGCATTTACCTTTTGGCAATTTACTATATAAGTGGGACAATCTTTTACAATCTTGAATGCATAATAGTATATGATCTGTTAGTCTTATGCCAAACAAGACATATGCAGATATCTCAATTGATAAGGAGCATTTTGTTGTGAATTATACTAAATAATTTATACTTAACAGTTAGGAGACCATTCTACGAGCTAAAGTAAACTACTTGATTGTATTACTGAATGTAAGAATTATTTTTATTGCGATAGAATGATGATCTGGTAAAAGCTTTCGGTAGTAAAAAAAAGAGGAATGCAGTTAAGACTCGTGAAGCTAGCAAAGTTGAGCAAAAAGAATTAGATTCTATTGCAAAAGACGCATTAGACCACCGGAGTCAAACTCCTAAAAGTCCTAAAGCGAAACTGCAAGAACAAGATACTCTCTTGCCACCGTGCAATATTAATGCTACGGATGTGAAAAATGTTTACAATATTAAAGACAGTATCTTTTTTATGTTTCACTATTTTCATCTCATTTTTATTTGTATAGGTATAGGTATCCTATTTCTGTAAGAAAAAATTTATCGACATTTGTTAATAATTGTTTCTTAGCATAATTTCCCAGTAATTTCACCGAAAGAGATGGAAGTTTTGAAAACACCTGCCGTAATATTTATGCATGCAACTAAAGAAAAATTGGAAGAATGGAGAGATGAGCCGACGTAAGTTTTTGATATGAGGAGTATTTTGTCAGGTATTCTTGACATTAAGATATAAATCTGTATGTGTTTTCACGTCTACATTGTAGAAAATCAAAATATTTCTTGGAGCATCTACAAATTCTCCCCTTGGAAGATAATCTAAAACTAGAAAAGATATGCTACTTATTGTATATTAGTTACTTGATACAATTTCATCACTTAAAAGCTAAGGATTTTCGTGGTAAAAATGGTAATGATTGTGTTTTATTATTTCATTGATTTAATTTTTATAACAATTATATGGAGTATTTTGCGTTGAAATGTTATATTATTTCTAATAGAAATTCTGGTTGGCATACCCGATAAAATACAAATAAGTTTACTTGACAATTTTTCTGTAAAATTGAACGATGATCCACAAAACAAACGTTACTACCATTTGGGAAGGTAATTTTTATAGATGGCTAAATGTAGAATTTATATACGCTAACTATGTACACGGTCACATGGGTGTAATTGAGCTTAGTGAAAGGTCTCAATTACACAAATATGAATATTAACGTTATTCTATTTGTTTTCTCTGTATTAGATGTGTAACTAAATTCGCGAAGGATAAATTACTAGCCCGTATTATTGTTTTGGCGCTATTTATAGACGATTTTCGACTTAATTGTAACGTTCTCGCCCGAGATCTCAAAATTACAGAGAAAAGGTGATACTTTATTGTAAGACTTGTCTCTATGGTTAGTCAGTGTCATGAAAAATTTTGTTATGCCCAACGTTTGTATTACAGTTGATTAATTATCGCTTACTTTTTACTGTAAGCATAGTTTACAATGAGCGCTTACTGGCTATTGGTTGTTTATCTATGCCGGTTATGGGTAATTACCGATTAGTTTCATAAATATTAATGAATCTGTCTTTGTTTTAGATTTACCGATGTAGCCAAGGTAGTTGGTTGTCATGTTGATACTGGGCCACGATTGAAGAAGGAGAAAGGCCTACAAGATGATGATAGTATAGCTTCAGGCGGGAAGCTAGTTACTTTAAAACTTCCGCTAAATGTTAAATTTATGAGTGGTAATGATAAAGTCGTAAAGAGATAAAATATATGCATGAAAAACTCTACTTCGTATACCGTCTTATTAAAGTATTATGACATATTCCGTAGACCAATATAATCTATTCAAAATTTGATTTACCTTCCTTTGGATGATTAAGTAAACATTAACTTACGTGACGATTTTAATAAAGCGGTACGAAATTTACTCAATAAATTTGAACGTTTCAAATAAACTAATTTATCCGTTAAGAAAAATATAATCCTTTATTTGTGAGGCGTTAATGTACACTACAATTTAGTATGGTAAATAGCTGGTCACAGTAGTTGTTATGCAGCTAATTTTCTGCTAGTTATGCATAAAATTTTTGTCATTAAAGTGACGATGCCAGCGACATCGCGTTTTCAAAAAATTTTCCAATGTAATTGTGGGATAGTATTCTGTAGTATACTTGTATGCTTAATTGTTAGCTTACGATTGTTTTATACCTGTTTATATCTATCGATTAAGTATAATATTGGAATTAAATTAAAAAATTTTGCTGTTTATTGTAGCCTAGAGAACGTTGTTATTGCAAAAATATTGCGATATCATTTGATCGTAAGATAAGCTTATATTAGCACGTAATATTTTACCGGAAGGTTTACCTTCGTTTAATTATTGATTCTATGGTAAAAGCAACGCATTAACAGTATAGGAAATATTATTGATTGTCCAATATTACTTATTCTGTGCTGTACGGGCATATTGATAATTTAATGTACGGTACTATAGCATTGAATAGCATTAACACAAATAAATAATTCAATCCATTAATTTAAATTAATTATGACTGATTGACATGTACCGTAAGTAAAATAGTCATGGACGGGCTACCATGTGCATAGTTGTTCATTGTACGGTATACGGTCTAAAATTTTTTCGCGCCCAAGTAGACATCCCGTCCCAATTCTTAACGTTTTTTTGATTACAATGTTTAATTTATATGAGTGCGAATGGATTTAAAGTCTATTTGATAACGTAGCTATTCTCATATCGATCTAGCTCCTTTAAATATATCTAAATCTTCTATTTTTGTATTTGTATTAGTCCCCTCGGTTTTCAAATCGAGTTACTTATCTTGAGTTCGTGGCATTTTTTTCGATTAATGCACTTCAGATACAAAGGAATGCAATAACTTTAAACATTGATAATATAATTACGTCAGGTATAGTAAGGTTATTTTATCTTGACTATAAGGACAATATTGATTTTATCCAGCACAGACTTTAACGGTAAAGTAGAAGCATTTTAATGGTGTAAATTACAATGTTATTTTGATGACTATTTATCATTTTTGTGTTGTTCAATGATAATATACTATATTATCAATTTTATTGATGATCAAGTTAATCAATCATTTTACTTTGAATATCGTCTTCATTTCAATGCTGTCAATGCCTAAAATCAATTAATAACCGTCTATTACCGATGCCCATCTGTTGCTTATCTTATTGTTCACAAACTTGACAATACAATCTAGCATAACGATTGTATTTTTCAATAATGACGAGTTATCTTAATGACTTTATCTAATGATTTTAGCGTCATCTCATTGATCCTTTAAAGACGTCCATATAATTCTATCTATCATCAGACATGAATAGAAGTTAGCGATAAACATCGATCTATTGTCTTTATCTAACATGATTGTTTCTTAATGAACAACATATTGAGAGTCACACGTTCTTAATTGGAATTACCAAATAATATGAAAATAATATGATAGAGATATTAATTTTCTATGAAGTGATGATCATTTTCAGATAGGATAAAGTAACATTGAAATTATCAAACTTGATAGTCACAGTACGTTAAGATTATGTAAATGAGAAGAATGAACTTCATTATTTTTAGTGCATACAATCAGCCTTTAGATAGGATGGTGTGATCTCAAAAAAGAAAAGATCGGTTGTGATGGAAGTTAATTGCTATTCTTTCAATCTATCAAAGGTTAATTGGCATTAGATCACTGCTAATTAGTTATCATTCAAGGCCTTTCTAGTGAATAAAATGAATACTGTATATTATTGCGAACTTAGGCTAATACTTTAACTTGCAACTTTCTTAATTTTTATAGGTTATTTAATCTATTAGCGAGATTAGCCGTGAGTGATTTGTTTCAGTAATATAAAATAAATACTAACAATTTTGCTCCGTATGCGTCTACTCATCATGGATACAATTACAGTATATGATTATGACCAAAAATTCATATCTTTCGTAGTCGTGTCTTAACTATTACATTTTCAAATTTTAATAGCCGTTATTAGAATAGTAGTTACCGCGTCCTAGTATAATTTAAGTCATAAACTTTATGCTTGATCAACCGTCGTCTTATGATAATTTACTATTATTGAACCTATTTTCTGCTTTGTTCTACGACAATAAAGTCTATTGATAGTGACAGCATTGATACGATTTAGAAAGGAATAAAATGTATTTCCTTCATGATTGCTTTATCATGATATAATATTCTCTGTCTACATATTTGACCCTAATTTAGAGTGTATAATTGAATTATTCGATCTTAAATAATGGTGAAACTATAGGAATATTTTCTTTATAATAACTATGTCATCGTATAATATTCGTATACTGTCTGGTTATTTGGTCTTAATTTGAGAGTGCATAAACTGACAGATTCGATCTCAAATAACAGTAAAACTAAATAAGATGATTAGCCATAAAATTTACCATTATATTGTTATAGTTAGTACACCTACTAATACCGTTGCGGTAGATTTCACTTTATCTACTAAAGTTTCTTTCAATCTTGCTTAAAGATGGGGACCCTATTCAATATCTTAAACAGCTAATCATTTTTTCCGTAGAAATAAAGATAAAACAAATGTATGCTTCAAGCCATGGCACCTTATAAAAATGACAATGATAATACGTCAAAGTAATAAAATCTCAAGCTGTAGACAAACACACCGTTGGACATAAGTTGGTCATGAAGTGCTAGCGGTTATGAAGTTGAACAGGATATTATTTTTTAATTATATCATTTAGGCTCATTCAGTACACTACATGGATAGTGATATATCAGGATAACTTATTGTTTTGCTATTAACTTAAAAAGGACCATTCTAAGTTTTTAGCTTTAACTGCTTAACATTGATAACAAGAATTATCTACTCATTCATTTTGTAATATCTGCATTCCTAAATGGATCGAATGATTACAACAGTAACCAATGTTTGTACCTTAAACTGTGATTCATTTCGAATATATAATAGAAAGAAATCTAGCTTTTGATACCAAATGTTAATAATTCGGAATATCTACAAGGTTTTTATTAATCGATATAGCAGTCCAATCTAGATTAGATAATTATTTGTAATTGTTAATATATGCTAGAAGAAAATAGATAATATGTATACATGAAACTATATCAAGTACTCGTATACACTATGTTTGCTAGTAAAGTATAGAAGAATTTTGAGATCTTATAGATTCTAGTTATAGTTAAAAGTCGATAGTCAAGATTCAGTTTTGCCTCTTCTTTAATGCAGGAATGACTGAGGATAATGAGACAGTTAACAGGAGTTATATTTGCTTTGCATTTATTAAGAAATGATTTTAAGCTGTTATAACTATTACACTTTACCTGAAAATGTCATTTACGGTAAAAGTACGTGCGATGGTCATTTAAAATATATTTAAAATTTTGGCCTAGATGAAATCAGAGTATTTTGGTCAATAAAGATAATGATGTTTATTATAGCCGCTACGATAGTTGCTGCAAGCGTTATTGTCTTATGAAAATTAAGTTGTAAGTACGTATTTAAAACTCATGGCACTGTAATCTACTGAATGACATTATAGACACTTGGTTTACTTTCATTATGCGACCACTTATAAATCTCGCTTAGATTTATTATACTGTAGTTAGCCATAATTGCATATATTAGTTATAATTTAAATTATACATGTAAGAGCCTTTCTATCAAATATTACGATCTTGAAGACTTTAGTTTCCGTACCATAAACTGAGAAATGGCAAGTTTTATGCCAAACAGTTAGTTTCTAAATCGTAGATTATAACCTTAGTCCAGGTTTCAAATTGATATGCTATTACCCAAATTCCTGCTGAATCGCTATTTACATCCGGATGAAATCTTGAATATTCTAATTTGCAGACTTTATATCTTTAACTGTACTGAATAAAATTCTTATTTGAAAGATTATCACCCCATAAATCTAATACTAACTTTCAATATACATCTTTTTAGTCTCTTTCTACGTTGAAGCTTTAAAAAACCGCCATATTATGGATATACTTTCAATCTGCGAGTGCTAAATTCTTTATAAGACTAATTAGAAGCTATAAACTAAATATTACTTTCTAGGTATAATATCGAATGTAATATGAATTCATAATAGAATAGATTGATGGGTAATATGGGTATTTATAAACAATGACGCTTAAATATTTTCTCTTACCTGAGTTAATAGATTTATAAAGTATTTTAATACAAGATTTTACACTTACTATCTATAAATATAGTATTTAATCTATGAGTTGTGCATGATTACAGCTGCATAGAGTATTTAAAGAGATTGAGTTATCTCTAAGTTTTAGAGATAGCACCATCAATATTGTTGCGATTAGATATAGAATAAGCGCTCAATTATGAGCTGTAAGATGTGATATTACTACGTTTACCGAAATTCGAAGCATACTGTATCATTTTATGTTGGCACAAAGGATCATCAATTGCCCTAATTTTTCTTTATAAGAGATGATTTAATGCCGCATTAGATTTAGAAAGATATAAAATTATTTAAAAATAGTTACTATACTAGTACAAGAGAAACGCTTTATCATGCAATTGAGATGTATGATGAGAAAAGAACAACATTGCGTTGAAGAAATTCCTTGAACTAGAGACTCTTTCCAAACTATCCCTTTCATATTATGATATCATAACTGTAGGTATTGTTGGCTAGGATAACTCAACGAATAGAAGATGATAGAAAGAAAAGCACTGAAGAGAATT